AATCTTTATGAACTGACTGCACAGACAATGTTTTGAGGTGGACTTTATCACTTAAAAACATTAAGACTATTATCTATACATTTATCACAGCAAATATAGCAAAGCCACGCTCCACCACTGAACACAGGAGCAGCAGAAGCATCAGATGCAACTACTATACACACTTTACTGGAACATAGAAATGTAGTGAGCGATATACTGTAGAAAATTGCCGTAATCACTTGCTCATGTCATGATCTTGGAGATGATGTTTCGCTTAATTATTCATTTCATTCACCTGTCTAACTCTGCCTGGTTTCTCATCATTGCTCATCTGATCCAACTGCCCCTGCCTCTTTTTAATTTGCTTGCTCCCAGTCATCAGCACCAGATTCTTGTTCTCTTGAGCTAGTGGTGAGAGTGTTTTTAGGGTTCCTTGGTCTTTCTGATTTCATGATCCTGACCTGTTCTGCCTCTCAATCACTGAGCTTGCCTGTTCCCATCTGATCTAAACAGTGAGAGTGTTCATCTGACAGTTTCTGATTATCTGATCCTAGACTGTTCTACTTCTCAATCACTGAGAATGCCCGTTCTCATCTGAACGGTTTGCCTGAACTGTCTTTGGACTCCTGGACCTCTGAGCCTTCCTATTCTGATCTGTTTGCCCTACCTGGCTTCAGACACCTGGAGCTCTGAGCCTGCCTGTTCCTGTTCTGATCTGTTTGCCTAACCTGACTTCAGACTCCTGCATGTTCTCTGGGGCTGCAGCATCTGTTGGCAGCCCACCGGCTGGAATCAACCTTGTTCTCTGGGCACAGACTGAACTGTTACTCTCCTGTAGAGGTTCCAGCCTTTGATGCCATAGCCGCTGCTACTGCAGATCCACAGTCCCTATTTAAAATAAATGCTTTCTGAGTAATCACTGTCTATCTGGCCTTGAATACTGGGTCCTCTGTTCTGAGCCATGTCAGCTGCCCCACCTGGAGTGAAAGCATGTTATCATTTGGACAGAAGGTACCCAGGGATATTTTGGAATGGGCCTCTGCTTGTGTGTCCACGCTGAGGGGGGTCTTTTTTCCTGGTATGGACACATTAGGGGCTACTTTTCTTTGAACCTATGGTGTATATATAGCAGCAATATCAGGTAATCATGTTCCATAATCTAGTTTCTCTTGCTTGAAGATTACGCTCTCAGCTAAGAGAGTAAGCAAGCTACAATCTCGGTCTTTCAGTCCTTCTTGTCTCAGATGGTGTCCAGAAAGGTGAAGGGTTGCTTTGTAGTTCAAAACCTTTGTTTAAAATGTGTTTTCCCATTCTGATTGCAGCCAACCACTGAGATTAACATGATTCCAGTTTAGGACATGTGAGATTGGATATATTTGTAAGTTATTTTGCAATGTAGGCACAATAATTATTCTGTGTGTGAGGTATGGAGAAAATCAAACATGTTTGATTTTCAGTCGACCGTCGTGGGCAACATGCTCAGAGGGCATGCGCAAACAGGTATTCTTCTTCTTCCTCTCAGATGAAAACACAAAAAAATATAAAGCTAGTGAGCTTTATATTCCTCTTCTACTTGTTTATCTTCCAGATAGACGAAGTCCGAGTAGCGCCATCTCACTGCGGAGCTGAGTCCAACGCGGTTTTTAGACGTACCATGAGAGCAGGTAGTTCGTACATACATCGTGATCTGTGCATTCACACTGTATTACAAAACCCTGCAGTTTCATTGTACAGTGTGAGCTGTAGCTGCGTGCAATAATTAAAAAATAATCAATTATTGCACGCAATAACAGTGTATGCCCGGCTTAATAGCCTTGGAAAGATGCTCTGCATAAACCATGTTGAGATTCTATTGCGTATCACCGGGGGCTTTCTCAGCACTTTAGCACAGTCACATGTTTATCAACAAAATGCCACATAGTGATGCAGTAATTAATGTAAAATGAGCTCTACCACATTATTGAGTGCATCTACACCACAGTAAATAGTAACAAGTTTTGGAAGGCTCACTCATCAGAGCATGTGCTGGCTCTTGGAAACTAAATTCTATATCTGAAACAAAACACTACATTACTTCCCATCTATCAAGGCTGCATTTACTCGATTCTTGTATGCACCTCCTGAACGTACAAGAAACTTCTACCAATTTTTCCTTTCACTCAACTCAATAAATGTGCTTGCAGATGTTTTCTTGGGCAAAATCCTTTTTTTTATGGAAAAGATGAAATAGAATAAATATTTATAGTATTAAAATCTTGACCAGGACTCACACAGTCTACCAGTAGCTTCTTGCTTGCTTCTCCAATGCTCCTGAGGGCCATATCAACATCTTTCTGGCCTGGTAGGCAGTTAACACAGTTATTCAGGGAGTGTGACACAGCTTTGGCTACCTGGAAAAAAAAAAAGAAACACAACATCTGTGAATAGACTGCCATTACCCAGTCTAACAGTGTGCTACATAATAAAGCCCAAAAGCAAAGCATCGCTATAATGGGAAACAGGGAATATATCTGAAATTCAAATTTAGCTCAAAGCTCTGTCACTAATTTTTGCTGCTGTCAAAGATTTATGCTAAACAATATGTTTATCTCCTCAAGGTCTGTGGGAAAATGAATGGTTTTATCCCTAAGGGAGGGATGTCAGGCAACAAAAGACTCAGCGGAGAGAAAATAGTAACGCTTAGAGGAGATGATTGTTATGGAAAACCAGAAATGTTTACAAATCAGCAGCATATGGGAGAAAGGGACTGAAAAGAACAATGTAATTATTGTGGGACACTGATATTGCATTTGGGAATAAATTACAGGGACCTGTGCTACCTGTGCCAGTCTCTGCTGACTCTCAGCATCCCCTGGATGAACCAGAGCCTGATGTGCCTCGTGGATCAGCATGGCAGAGCCTTCCATCACATACTGAGCTGAGTCCAACATGGCAGCTGCAGCCTGAGGCTCCTTGGTGCTGGCTGCCACACCTCTGGCTGCTTGAGCCAATGTCCTTAAAGCCTGGGCTGTTTCTCGAGCAGCAACACCTGCAATAAAAATAAATAAGTCATCCACAATTTAAAAGAATGTAGCAAAGACAGACAGCAGATAGCTGTGTATCTCTTCTTTCTTATATCCAACAATATTTCTTAAATTAATGCAGTGTTCGTTGTGAAAAACAGTCCGATCTCAGTTTTAGCGGTTATTGCAGCAGTGTTCAATAAATCAACTGAAACATACTATGACTGAACTGTGATACTAAAATGCATTCATTGCTTAAATTAATGAGGATCTATGCTAAATATGCCCCCCACGTAGGAAGTGCTCTTAAATTATTACACATAGAGCTAAAAAAGCATCAAATTGCATTAACCAGCAGAGTGGAGCCATTTGCTGATGAAATTTTAAATCAGTAAAAAAAGAGATTAATGAGCACCAAGCAGCACCCTAAGCCACAGTGTGAAATAGTGCTTGGAGACGTTTATTGTTGGAAATGCTGTTCCAAATCTATTGCTTCACTTAAAATCAGATATAACAGAAACAACTTTGATGGATTCCAAAATATTCTGTTAAAAACAATGAAAAAAAAAAACCATACACTATTAGCAATTTATTTGCTGTAATATATCAGTCTGCTGTGGTGACATGGGAAAGAACAGTCAAAGCATTTTGGATCTATTCAGAAGAGTGTTACCTGTGTAATGCTCATTGCCTTGTGCAGCACAGGTAAGCAGCTGGGCCATGGAGGAGCCGACAGCCTTTGATGTACTTCCCAAATCCTGAGCACACTTTTCCAACTGTGAGAATGATGCAGTGTGTTATTAGTTCAATACTCTCTTTCAGCTTGTAGATTATGCAACTTTAAATCATAAACAAACCATTCAATGGTCTTAATGACATTTTCAGGGATTAAAATTTGTAAACTTTATGTTTAAACCTGGCATGTTTCGCAGTAAAATCCATGGTGGCCGGCATTTGAATATCAAGGGCTAAACTGCCTTTGTTTGGCAATATGCAACATTTTTCTCATGTGTATCAGCCAATAAGCTGCCTGCTTGAAGCATGCACATTGCTACTAATGCAGATCATGCACAAATGAAATCTCCATCAGAGTATTCATTTCTCCATGTGTGTATTTCTTTCTGTGAGGATTTTTTGGTCAAATTAGTAGTTCTTGTGCACGTTTTTTATATTTTGTGGCAACAAATTAGTATTTTGTGCATACAAATCAGTATGTATGAAATACATATGCCCCATCTCTATTTCCATCTGCATTCTGATCAGATATACAAAGTGATCACCAACCATCACCTAATTTTCCCTTTTATTCAGTATTTATTGAGATATATTGCAAAGAAACAAACAAAAAAAATAATACACCTATCCATTCATTGAGGAAAATGGATCTACTACTATTGTGGATGAGGTATGGTCAGCTGTCTCTTGCAATAGTATTTACCTGCCTAAACATTAACATGTTTATTGACTTAATCTGATTTATTGATTGTATGGTATGATAATTATAAATGATAAATGACTTAAAGTTGTGCATAATTCGTAAACAAAAGACAACATTGCTTCTATAAATGTTTTTAATTGAAAACCTGACAAGTGTGGTATGCATTTGTATTCTGTCCCCCTTAATTATATACTTCTAAAAGAATCCTGTGCAACAAATCAAAGTTACCAAATTTGTAAAATATACACAGACGTCCATTTTTTCATGTTATTGTAAATAAAACAGTTTTTAAAGTCATAAGAACTTTGTTAAAGCCAAAATTGATAGAAAGCCCTGTTTTCCCAGTGCCACAATTCTTGAAATGGGCACAGTAAGTCCCTAAATACTGACCGTTTCTCCTGGAAGAGGTTTGAGCTGGCCATCAATCACAGACCTCTTTGCATCCTGGAGCTCACTCTTTAGCGTCTGTACTGTCTTAAGGGCAGAATCAATCTCCAAAGGGCCGCAAGCTTCGTGGGCCTTTAGATAACATCCAAGCAAAACTGTTACTCAATGTCGGTTATGCAGAATAGATGGAATGCAAAGCTATAGGCAGCTGACATTACAAAATGGAGTTTAATTTAAACACAAGAGCCAGCAAATACTCTGTCAGTCAGATGAATCTTGCTATCTTTTTCATTGTTACGATACCTTCTGCATGGCCGTCCTGAGCTCTGCCAGACAGGTTGCTAAATTCTTGGCACACTGCCCCAGTTGCATAGCAGCAGCCTGTTCGGCCACTGTCGGTACAGCAGACTTTGCAGAGGCAACCATCTTACTTCCAGGCTGAGGTGTAACGATAGAAATATAAAACTCAAATTATAAGACAAAGGTTACAGAAGGTCATTGACAATTTCATGGTCACATGCCTACCTGCAAAAAGCTTTGGCTGGCCATAATGAGGGCTAGCTGAGGGCCAAGCTCCTCTGGCTGGGCCTGGCTGCTTCTCATTCCTTGCACCAGCTGGGGAATACTGTCTGCTACTGCCTGGAATCAAAATATTAATTCTGAATTATTATTATGTTCCACTAAAATTACTTTTAAAAAGTCATATAAAAGAACGTATCAAAATGTGTGCATAAGAAAGACTGTACTACTGTACCTTGCAGCTGTGTACTAGCTGCTGGTGTGAAGCAGTATTTTTGTTGGAAGCAGCAGCATTTTGAGCAGCTGCTATGGTCTGAGTCGCTGCAGCCGCTGCCTGCTTAGCAGCTATCTGTTTATAAAACATAAAAAGTAAGAGAATTTAGTCTAAAACAAAAAGGGGTGCTTGGCAAAGAGGAACACTCATGTATAACCGTTAATTTAATGATATACAGCTGTGTTCTGGCTCAGAGTTCTAATAACAGAGAGAGGTGTCCCTGACTAAAAACTTGTGAGAGAGAAGAGGAAAAGATTTTCATATAAATTGTTCACTATAGTCTTCCTTAATTTAGTTATTATACTGTACATATATGTACATATATATACCGGTATTAAAATGTGCCTATAGGGTGACCTGGTCAAATGACAAAAAAAATGTCAGCGATTAAGAAACTTTCAATAAAATTTTAATTTGAAAACCTATTTGCTCTGATCCACAAAGGTACGTATCTAAAAATTAGAGTTTCTCTTAAGTAAATACACCCCTAATTTAAGTTGGATAAATGCCCCTTAACAAGTTGAAGAGAAACCGCACACTATTAGACTGGGTATCCCCCTCTCATCTAATAAGAAATTATAAAGCCAATTTCACTGGTTGATTTTAAGAAATAATCAAAGATTTTTAACAGATATGATATGGATTCATTGTAATTTTTTATGTCAGCCTGACCTATCGGATCAAAAAATAGCCAACATGTTGATGATTTTGCATTGAAAAAACTCTGTTGTGTCCAAATACTAAGCACATGACCTCAACTAACACATCTGTCAAAAAAAGGATTACAAAGTTTAACATCAGCATGTTCTGGAAGGGTGTAAAAAAAAAGGAGGAAGTTGCCCCAAAATAGAAGCTCAATAAGTTTCACAGAAACATGAAGCTGCACACAGACAATCCAAATCCTTTCTGGTTTTGAAGTTTTGGGGACAGCAAAAACAGGGAGTAAGCTTATTCATCACAATAATAACAATTAAGTTTACAGGAGTCAACGTCAAGGTTTTAAAGCTAAGAACACTGTATCCATTACCATGGATATGGGTGAAATCATCAGGCTGAATCAATCCCACAGCCTTAACTCTGGGTTCCTGAGCAAAACCCTTAACCCCCCGACTGCTCCCTGGGAGCCCCACAATGGCAGCCCACTGCTCTTCAAGGGGATTGGTTAAATGCAGAGATAAATTCCTCCAATGTGAGATCAATAAAGTTCAATTTTTATTATTAGGCATCTGGAATGTTCTCAGTTCAAACCATATTACAAACGTATAGATTATAAAAATGCCTTTGCCTGGAAACTAGTTCAAATTCTTAATATGAAAAGGGGTATTTTACCCAGAACTACACTAGAAGTTTATTTATAACTATAAAAAAGTGTGTATTTACTGTAATTAGCAAAAAAAAAAAGCTTTTATGCCATTATTACAGGGGAAATAATTTGTTTGAGTCAATATATTTAAACTTGAATCTTTGTAGATAGAAGATTATGGATCATTATAGGTCCCTGTATGGAGAGATTCTAGATCTTAAACAATACATAAAATCTTTCACAGTGAATTAATTTAAACTTTATTTAAGTTATTTGGTATAAACTTAACAACCTAAAAGAAGTTCAATTGCAACATTAAAAGCCCAGTCTGGTCATGACATCTACCTTGATGATGAGTGACAAAACAAATCTGACCAGCCTTAAAAAGCTGGTCAGATTTGATAGGGAAAATTTAGATAAGAAAAAAAAAAAAAAATCAGACATTTACAGAATACTAAATGTCAAGAAAGTGAGCTTATTGACAAATAAGTAAGGCAGCATTGGTACCATGAGGGAGTCCAGTAGTGGTGAAAGTACACTGAAAGGTGCTGCTTATGTTATTGTGGTTAATATTTCATACAGAAGAAAAGATCTAGACACAACAATGACTGCGACTGAGGGAAATTTATTTTGTCTTGACATTGCAAAACGGAGGGCTCTGGAGTTGCCTAAATGTTTCAGAGATAATTGTTACAAGCACACTCTGAGATTAATAACATTGTTTTAGACTGGCTTACATGCAGCTGTGATGGAGGTTACCATTAGCACCATTACTGTAACCATCCGATGCAAGGAGTCAGGCTGAGATTCCTGTCTGATAGGAGGCTGATCCCAGCCCCAGGGTAATGAATAGTTTATGTGCCCGGGGAAATTGAACACTGGACTCTCTAACGCAAAGGGTTGGTCGTCTTCAGGGGGCAAACTGATATTGAGGGCTAAACACAGATCTTTATACAGATAGTTCCTTCACAGTATTAAAGGGATTTATATCTCTCTGTGGTGATAAAAAGACATATCAGAAAAAGGTGACCTTCCTTTGAATTTCATATCACAGCGATAGGAAATATCCCTCTGTCTTAATTAAAAGGAAAAATGGTAACAATTTATTGCGTGATTTCAGGTTTAACAGCTTGGAAGTTAACAGGAAGAAAAAAAATAAATCCTCTGGTAACTCACCTCCAGTCGGTTGACTAGTTTTTTCTTTATGGCGTTTTGAGCTGCGGCATTAGTGGCAACTCGTAGTCCCTCAGCTGCCTCCCTCAGTCTCTGCTGCTGGTCCTCATTCTCTGGGTAAGCAGCTGCTCCCTGATGGGCAGATATACCCAGACAATTATGTATATATGTGAAAATAAACAAAAGCTGTAGCAATGCATGCTGTAGATACAGAAAATAATGAGTATCTAGATCTTTGAAATATTAAGCTTAATAACTCTGCCCTGCCTGTGTTGTATGACAAATGCAAAGAAACATTTAACTCTGTCTCCTTTCAGTTTCCAAGGAAACCGTCAGTGCCAGATCCTCTCTTGCTCTTTGATAATGGCAGTGATGTGGTGATTAATATGCCACAGATTAAAAACATCTTAACAAGCTACACGCCGCACTTCTGTTGCATGGGTATTTCTCATAGATAATGCCCTGCTCGACAGTGCCAGGGGCTCATTAAGAGACACATGCTGCATAGTTTCATACTGGATGTAGAATCAGATGGTAGATATTAGCATAAGGAAGTAGAAAGACTTTCATTAGTGATGTTTAAAAGTGAAGTTCAAGGCCATATTTCTTATCATTAACTAAGGGAAAATGACAGAAAGCATAAAACGTACATGAAGCAGCATCCAACTTTTTGATTGGCTTAAGGTAAATGTGTCACCTTTGCAGCCTCCACCATTCGAGCAGTGGCATCTGCCAGCAGTTTGGCGGCAGCAAGAAGCTTCTTGGAGTTGTCAACATCAACCTCTGCCTCAGCATCTGACCTCATGGCATTGACCAAGTCTGAGGTAGCTTGGGCCAGCACACGAGCTTGACGGACCATCTCACCTGTTTAGACCAAAAAGCAAAGTTTATATCAGTATACTGTGACCCCCGAAAAAATACATGAAGCAGCAGATTGTGGATTATTATGGCTGCAGCTGGGACATACTTTACAGACATTTGTATAAAGGAAACAATTCTTTATTAAAACACATAAAAACAACATCATTCAAATGTACAAGTTGGTAAGTAGCATTCACACTTGTGCTAAACTTTAAGATGAAAAAAAAAATGCAGCTTTTAGTTAATAATACTGAAGAGACAGCAGTCTTTCAGGTATAACTATATGGGGCTTTACCTGGAGATACACTAACACTGTTACTACAAAATATTTAGTGAAAACCACTGGTAACTTTCTGCTGTAAAGTTCAGGTCTCAACCATCAAAGCAGATAGATCATGCTGACTTGTTTCTGCATTACAGCTCAGTTGATACAGTTCAACGCCTGCTGCAGGCAGAGCATGAGGTTAGCTATGGGTTGGCAGGCACAGCAGAAACAAACAGAGGATAAACTGAATTGAAATTGAATTAAAAGTCCGAACTGGGTGTATGGTGTCTCTTCTAACCACAATTTTTTTGCCTTTAGTAAAGGCAATTGAAGCTTAAATTACAACACAGATGCCAACCTTTAAAAAAACTGAAAATTACAAAGAATCAGGATTTGACTAACAACAACATGGTAGCTACAAGATGAAGTGAATGACAGAAGCATTAAAATGAAATAAGCCAAAATACACTTGATAGAAACAATAAAAGCTGATAATTATAGCAATGACAATCTATACAAATATTATATTTTCATTTGTCTAAACTGTAAAATTCTGAATACTTGACATACTTAAAATTTAAGGCAGTTTATTAAAAGAAAAAAAACAACATTTATCAGTATCATAAACTTATCTGGTAAATTTTTTATTTTTTGGATCACTTGAACCTGATAAATTGTTGTGGTATATTATTCTCAACAAAGTCTTATTTTAGAAATCTAAAATCTCTTAATATCTAAGATTTTCATGTTTATATCAGGGCTTATACTGGCCATTGGGCATACAGGGCATACTGTATGCCCGGGCGGCCAACGTCCATTTGTGGGCTGGCCCAAGGCTATCATAATGTAATAAAAAATGTATTTATCAATCAATATTCAATATATTATTATATATTAAATATTTTATTATCTTAACAAAGAATAATTTAATTAAATGATTTGAGAGTGATTTATATCTCTATTATGGTCTTTACAATACCACAATTTGATGTCGATTTTATATGTTTGACTAAGTATTTTATTTAAAATAACTGATCAGTGGATAAAATCAGTTCCTCAATATTTAAGCAGCCTTTCTACCAAATCTTTTTTTAATGCTTGAGTGTTTTCTTTCACTATATATTTATTTTTGAAATTCTGTGTGTCTCCCCATAAAATATGCTGTTGCTAACCATAATGGGCCGCCATGGCCCAAAATGCCCAGGCCATTTTTTTTAACCTGGCTTACCCTGGTTTACATCATTTTCACCTTTATGTCCTGCAGTGGAAAGTTTCTATTGACTCAAACTAATGTGCAGAAAAAGAAATGTATGGGATGAATGCAACACCTCCCCACATGTTTGCCATTAAAAGTTAAGTTTCCTAAATTCCACCACATGCTCTTAATTATTCATTCTATAAATCTCAGTAGATTTCAAAGTGCTCTACAACTAATGTATGTAATCATATGAAATCTAACTTTTCTCTGCATTGAATGCATACCTTGTGTTTGGAATATTTTTTTAAGCAAACTGAAGAAAAATGTTTGTCTCTTCAGACAAGTGCTAGAGTCATATGTTTCCTGTTACCTTCCAGAGGCTCTGTATTGCTGATTAAGACCAGACTGAGAACTCTGTATAGGCTTTGGATGAAATGTCTACTACGACCCCTCAGGAATTAGACTCACTTAAAAAAATCCACTGAAAAACTACAACCTGAGCTTTGAACATGGACTTTTTCAGGACCATTTGGAGATAATATCTAGTCCCACTGCATATTCAAAACATAGCAGAACAGGTAAACTCAAGACAGGTGTCTGTAGGGATCAACTCATTTCTGTCAGAACAGCTGCTGCCACTCACCCGCATCACCCATGGAAGTGAAAATATTTTCAGTCACATTCATAATCGTGTCTGTGGCTTGGTCATAGCGTCCGATGGGCTCCCCGCAGCTGGCATAGTGGCGGACGTGTTGCAGCAGGTCGCTGAGGGCCTGGCTCACCACACCAGCTGCTGCTGCGACCTGTTTCAGCAACTCGCCGTCGTTGCTAGCTGAGCGGCAAGCTTTGACGCAGGTCTCCACGGATCGGTCCACCAGCTTCCCAGCCTCGACAAGCTGTTCCTGACAAACTGGGGAGCTGATGGTGGGGCTCACCACCTGTACAACACACAAAGGATGACAGCAGCTAAGACAAATCAAGACATTTTACTATTAAGCAGAAATCTACAGTTATTTTTCCATCATTTAGAAATGCTAGTTAGGTACACCTTTCAAAGACCTTTCAAACATTATCATTTTGCATCAGTTGCAAATTCAAATCCCCATCTGTCTGTAAGTCACGAGAGCAGAAAATTCAAAGTGTGTACCTTGGTGCAGGCAACCAGTTGGGAGGTAGACAGGGCACACTGGGTGGCAGCTGCAATCACTCGGTTCTGCAGTACAGTGTCCTCGGCCACCTGGGCCACATTCTTGGCCTTCAGGACTAACATAGCAGCTGCATTGGCCACCGCTTTGGCCAGATTCATCAGGGTGTCCTGCAACATATTAATCAGTGTCCTTCACAGAAACAGAACACAGCTGTGGACGTGTGACTGAAGAGAGGCGGAGAGTAAATGCTCGCAGTCCATTTTGTTCAAACTGATATAATGTGACTAGTACATGACAAATGTAAAAGGAGCAACAAGACTTCAAACAGCAAGGACCAGGGTATGTGAATATTAAGTCATAATGACATGATCAAATATAGGTGCATAGTTAAATATTCATAGAGATTTGACGGGAGTGTTGGCCTAGTGGCTAGAACAGTGCACTTGAGCTCTGAGAAGGTCCCCAAAGCCGGCAATCTGGGTTCCTGAGCAAGATCCTTACCCCAACACTGCTCCCCAAAGGGATGGGTTAAATGCAGAGGTGATTTCTCTAGTGTGGGATTAAAAAAGTTCAATTACTTATCTATTTTTTTTCTATAAATTAAATATTCACTGACACTGATTGGTGGATGGCTGATTGGCAGTTTAGAAATACAACCTTTTACAGGTCAAAAAATGCATTATACCAAAGCAATAACAGTTTGATCTACAGTTAGCTACTTTATCAATGTAGTAAATGGTAAATGGCATGTACTTATATAGCGCCTTTTTTCAAGTCAGGAGACTTGACCAAAGCGCTTCACACTACATTCATTCACCCATTCACGCACACACTCACACACTGATTGTGGCAAGCTACATTGTAGCCACAGCTGCCCTGGGGCTCACTGTCAGATGCAGGGCTGCCGTACACTGGCGCCACCGGGGCCTCTGACCACCATCAATAGACAATGCAGGTGAAGTGTCTTGCCCAAGGACACAACGACACTGAAAGTCAGAGCCGGGGCTTGAACCGTCAATCCTTTGATTTCAGGGCAAACCCCTACATCCAACGCCACTGTTGCCCTCAGTATTGAAATGTATGTTGTACAGTTAATACTGCTGTACAGAGAACAGCAGAGTAGCTCTGTTTTTCTTTTTTGTTTTCAGCCTCAGCCTTTCATAAAAATAAAATGCTGGGATAGTTTGGAAATCTTGGAATTAAACAGTTTTGTCTGTTTTTTAAGAGGTTGTAAACAGTATTTGTAAGATTTACTTAGCTGTAGTATAAAAGTGGCACATCACTGATGGATTGTTGGAAAAATAATTACATTCCCTGAGTGGATGAAAGCCAACAAACTAAGGGCATGTAGGATGTATGAGCCCGGGTTTTCAAATTATTCGGCAGATTAAAATGTTTTTTTTTTAATCATCTATACAAATCTATACAAATATCAGGATTGGCCAAAAAACTCAGAATGGTTAATCTCCATTATCAAGGACTGGGGGAAAAAAAAGCAAATAGTCTTTTTTCATTAATTATTTATTATTATTTTAAGATACAGGGAAATATTTGTTTCCTTTCCTCTTAATATATAAGAAAACATTTAAACTGAGGTCAGTTTAGTGCAGACACTAATTTCTATGTCAGATACTGTACATAAAGAAGCATCCTGGCTGTATAGATCAGCTCATTATTTCAGGGTTAAAACACTGTATGGTCTTTCTCCTCTAAAAGCTCTCAATCTGATGCTTTGTTTGAAAGTGGCAGGCAGACAATAAAGCCTGAGGTAATTACATAAGAGTGTATTGACATTTTTAAAGGGGGCCTGAGAATATGGGTGTGTGTCTTCCTGTTTGGCTGCCACAGCCATAGAAACAGTGAGTGGGAGGCATCCAACCTGGAACTTCTCATCAGTCTCGCCCTCCCCCATGTGACGGAGCAGGTCCCCGCTGGCTTGTCCAATGCTTCCTGCTGCAGTCAGCACCGTCTGTCTCGGCTGCACAAGGGTGACATCAGCACATTCATTACACGCGGCTGGCGAGTTTCCACAGAAAACACTCCAGCATGATCTAAATCAGTATCAAACCTCCCTACCTGGCAAAAAAACCTTTAGTAGTAGAGTTTCAGTGGTAACATTTTAAAATTAGCATCCAGTTCAGCATTTTGTATTTCTGTACATTCTGGGGATTGCATCTGACAATGAGATCCCAAACCACCGTAGTAATCACTGTGTGCCTCACCTCGCCAGTCGCAGGCTCCACGGACCTGAGCAGATCTGACACGGCTCCTGCCAGCATCCTGGCAGCGCCCATGAGCTTATGTCCACCTCCCGCCTCATCTTCCATTAGTGCTGCGAGTAACTTGATGCCCTTGGACATTTCGGTGAGGTTTGAGGAGATGGTGGTGATGGCACAGCCCACTGCTGTGTAGTCGGTCTCTGTTGGCTCACCTGCAGAGGATAGACGGCCAAAATAACAGCCTAAACCAACCAACGTCTCGGCTGTGCATCTCAATTTACTGCTGCAGCATTGATTCAGCCACGCCATGGGGTGGCTCGCGTGTCATTTGCTTTAACAAACACATCAGAGTCATGATTAGAGCCTGTCTGAAAGGGCTAAGCTGATATAAGAACATTGATGAAACAAGTGGCTGTGAAGAAGGAAAACTCTAAGTGAAACCAAACGGAAGGCAAGGTTAGTCTAAAACTGAACTGGCATTATATCTAACTAGAAGGGGCAGCTGGAAGAGAAATGCTCAGTGCAGATGGTTCAAGATTTATATATTAGGCGAAACAAAAATATCTATAAATAACACAAAGACAGTAATTTATCAGCACTGGTGTGAAAAGCATCCAATAGTGAATTGTCATTCTGGTAAAAACATTTTCCTTTATCAAGTTTAAACAATATAATATTAGAAATAAAGTAATATTAATTAAATGCAGCTCCATTAAATATTTTCTTGAGAACTCACCTGCTGTGAGATTGACCACAGAGGCTGTTCCAGCAGTAATGGCATCCACCTGAGAATGGATTTCATGTTTTGATTCATCCACTTTGTTCCGAACCCAAACCCTGGAGGCCTTTAGGAGGAAAAAATTAGAGTTTTATATTCATCACAGCAGGACATTTTTAAATGCACTGGTTGAAGTCCAAGGCTAGCAAACAAAATATGGTTGCAAGCAGCATGCATGTTTACAGTCTGCTTTAAAAACCAATAATTTTTAAAAATGGGATAGAAAGTAAGTACATATTTGCTGTATCTACCTTATATACATGGTACAGTATAACTCACCAAGTCATGGCCCAGTGGAGGCAGATTATCTACTTGTCCCAGGTCCACCTGTGCCTGCTGGACAGCCTTCATGCTGCTGTTAATGGTTCCCATTAAAGCCTGCTGAGCTAGACTCTGATGGCAGACATGCAAAAAGATAAAACCAATTTTGCAAACTAAAATAGGTTTATTGTGCATCTTTCAGAAAAGCATTGCTAAATAAGTGACCTTAATAGCTTAAAGAAATCACACCTAGACAAAAAGCATGGCAATACGAGTGTAATTTGCATTTTCAAGATTACGTAGATTTTATTTCTTTGTGACTTAGAGAATAAAGCACATTGAGCTGTATTATCCTACTCACCAGTGGAGGCATGTGTCCTCTGTGCATCTGTCCAGTGGTAATTTGCTGCTGGGCAGAAGGCATTGTGCCCACACTGTAGTTATCAGGGCCACCAATAGAGCCAGACCGTATAATGCCAGGAAGGGCCACTGACCCGTGCTCCACACGACCAACCCTATTATACTGCTGTTGCAAAATTGTGGATCTATAAATAAATTTGAGAAAATGTAATTAATGGCAATTTTATGCACAAAAATCTAATTAAAATTGACTGCAAAAAGGTTAAACCTGCAAGCAAAGGTAGCAGTTATCCTTGGCCTTTGTTATTTTTGTCAAAATTGATTTTTTTTTACTACTGCTTTTCATATTAACAGAATTTCTAAGTTTTAAGATTTTGCTTTTGTTCTGCACTTTATTGTTTCATATGTAATCATATTTTGCTTGCTGGTTCCCTGTATTTTCCAGGAGCCATTTCCTCAAGATAACTGCAGTTATCCTCACAGCTGCACAGTGTTTCTAATCGACCACCCTCTGATCACCCTATAAATGCCACCAGTGTTTTTCCTCGTGATGCTCTTATGATTCACTGTTGTTACTTTCCCCTGAGCATTTGTTTTTGTAATTTTTGGATTCCCTTTCAAGTATTTCTATTTTAGGTTTTAAGTTTGTTTAAACCTGCTTTCCTCCTTCTGGCCCTGCTCTAAATCGTTTCCTGACTGTTTTAACTGAATGCTAAGAATTACTTAATTGTGAATTATAAGACCAACACAAAGTAGAGTACTCTTCTGATACAGAGAAAAGCAAGAGCATAATGATGCTTCCACCACCATGTTTAGATAAGGTTGGTATATATGTACAGTGTAACAGTTTTACTATACTATCAGCTTAATAGGACACCTTTTTCTAAATGTTTGCTCATATTTATACGGCTGCAAGCAGTCAGATTTGTGGCTAATAACTGGTGTATCTACAGATTGTCCTATCTATGCTGAGTTTGTCTTCATTGATTGATTTACATGAAAATCAAATGAAATACAAAGGAATTTGTAGTTTTGTTAAATTTGAAAACGTTGAAAGGGAACTAAATACTTCTGTAGTCAATGGCATTTATTACCTGAAAACCAATACATATGCTAATTTTTATGTTAATAGTATTACAGAGATTAATGTAGATCTTTCGAAAGAAATCATATAATTGTAATTACAGCATAACAATGGTCCCATGCCAACATCCTCGCAGTGAGCAGGCCTCGACAGAGAAAAACAAAAACAAAACAAAATTGGATTTCACGTCCAACTCAGCATATGCTCTTGACTCCATTGGTTAATTACAGCTTGTTTTGAAATACATCAATTATGTCTTTGCAATGGAAACACCAAAATAAATCAGCTGGCCCATGCACACTGGAAATATGGCACAATAATTTATCATTAGTTTTAGCAGGAGCCTTACACATTTCCACTGACTATACATGTTTCAAACTACACTTCCAATTTACACTCCATTCCTATTGGGGACTATAGAATAAATAGCCATATAGAGCTATTTTGATCCCCTATTTCATGAATGTCCTCTTCCTGCCTCCTTTCTACACCATCCTTGATCTGTGGCCGTGAAATTAATCTTACGTGGATGTCTCCATTGTTTATGTGTCTATACTTCCAGATGGTAGTAGAAAGGACTGCAGCGAGATATAGTAAGAGGAGACTTTCCACAGTATTGATACGAACAGGATATACAGGTGTATAATTTGGGGGGCTCTCTTTGGGATCCTTTATTGCACATTGGCAACACCTATTGTTGTTGTTTAGAAATGTAGCTACGAACACACAATAATCTTACAGAGATATGAATATGTTTCACTCATTGCATCTAACTGATGCTTAGAAGAAAGGGCATCTCTATTTGAGAAATTACTATTGCCTGAAATATCCCACTAATCATGTGACGTCCCAATCTACTCAGATGTAAGAGTCTAAATGATGAGTTTACAGTTGAATTGGACAGATGAGGTGACCTTGTAGAGATACATTAGATATGACATTTTTCAGCAGTGAAATCCTGTGAGGCTTAATTAATCAACACTCCTTGAGTGAATGAAGGCTCAGCCAGCAGCTTTAATCGCAAAAGTCCACAGTTTTCAAGACTCAAATTCCAAAAGATCTGAGCTTTGCTTTATACATTTTGAAACCCTCAAATGGCAAATTTCCAACCCTCACTATGAAACAGTGGCAGATATGCTTATTTATGACAGCTATTCAAAATTAAACCTACCAAAGAGTGGATGAATGGATGGATATATAGTTCGTAGAAGAATAGACAAGTGGATGTTGGATATACAGGCGGATGGACAGATGTACAGATTGAAGAACATAATATAGGAAAGGATAGGAAATACAGTCTTGAAATAATAACCATCAAATACACCTTTTTTAAATTTATAAATGCTTAGTACACTTCCAAAACAATTAAAACACATTTTGGAGGATGTAGCCCTTCTTTCTAACAATCTGGCTGACATGATTAGTCCTCCAAAAATCTGAGTCTAGACCAGGAAACAGAGATATTGTTTAACACACCTTTCTGCAGCTACTCTACTGTTACCCGCTCTTTACCCCATTCAGACAGTGTCTCCTTCCAACATAGAATTAATTTAGAAAATAACCTTAGAGGAGTAAATCATAACAATTTCATTAAAATGAGTAGGACTCAAATTAAGCAAAAAAAATGATAATTAAAATGCGTCTCTCCTCAAAGAGTTAGTTGATGACTGATTTGTGATATTTAAATTCATTTATATAGTCTTACCTTAAATTGTTTTATGCATATGAGGCAATGACTAGTTCTTCAAATTTTGACATTCTTCTAACCTTTAACCGTTAGTTACCCCCACCCATATTTTTGAGCACCAAAACCACTTGTCTCTATTTTGTATTCTGTACTCTATTTTAAAAAAATCAGTTTTCAGATTTCCAATCTAATATACTGTATTGGAGGATTTTAACACTAATGCCAACAATGAAGGGGAGGTAATTTAAATGAAGTCTTTAATGCTATCTTAGATTTAATTGGCTTCTTTCAAAATGTGCATAGCCTAATGCATTCCCTTCTCATTGTGTTATTTCGGCTGCCACTGTTGCTGCCTACATACTCAGTATCAGGGATTGCTGCAGAGTTAACGACACAATGCAAGCAAATCTCTTTTGTCACTACATGCTAATTGAGTTTAGCAGTATTTAGAAAAGCCTAAAGGAGTAAAAAGAACAAGACAAAAACCAAGATAAAAGCAGAATGTACAACATATATAATTATATACAGTATATTACAATTCAATGGTATTGACAAAATATTACAAAGGTATTACAAAGAATAAAAGCAGTTGTCATGAACTGAGAAATGTTAGACAAGATATTTGTTTATGTTTTACTAATATTTTTTTCAACTGCCTTTTTAGCACTATTTGTATAACTGAAACTGTTGCAGCTTAGATTAGAGCTATTATCTGGCTCAGAAGCTAGAAGTGAAAAACACTGGTATAAGAAAAAGGTCTTAAGATTTGCTTTCTGCTTCTTATCTTTGAAGTGATTTTGATATTTTGTCAATTCTATGATAATTTTATTTCCCTTAACTGTAAGTCAAGGCTAGTTAAGTACAAAATTGTAAAAAATGAACACTTAAACAACATATAAAGAATTATCTTAAAATTTAAAGTGCTGCTTTTGTGTTGAATCTGACTTATCTTACCCCCTAAAAGATTTGAATCTATCTGTAAGGTTTAATAGCATCATCACTTTTGTGCTGTACTAATAAATCAGTGCTGTCAACACTTTACTGCAGAGTACTATATAAATGCTACTCACTTCTTAGGGGAAACGGATTCCTCCAGCATTGTGGATTCTTCGTCCCCCTCGAGGCCAAATCGATCTTTACTCTGCTTCTGTATTGAGAGGATATTAGTAAACACTGCTGATTATTTGGATAGACTCTTAAATGCAAAGTATATTGCATTATTTTAATTCACTATTATTTTTATCCACTTACCTTTTTAAGAATGATGTCAATGTATCCTGCAATAAGCTGGGATATCTGTTCTCCTTCTGTTGTCTGGACTGAGTAGTAACTCTCCTGATATTCTCCAAAATCCTTGTTTAAAACAAGATAAAACAGTTTGTTTAAGCTACAGGGTGCTGTCATCTGGCTAGATGCAAAAAGGTTTAGCTTTAACTAGAGGGAGGGAGTGAGGCAATGTGTGCTGAGATGAGAAAATGCATCACAGAGGGTGAGGTTCGTAAATAAATCTGGCAGGACTTTCATCATTTTTAACTATCAAGGAATGAGACTATGTTCTGTTGAGCATTCCATTTCTCCAAAGAGCCAATTTCATATAAGAGATGTGGTGAATCGGAGAAGTGTCTACTTCAAAGTATTTCCAAAAAAACCCAGAGTGAGTATTTTTCATCAAAATGCCTACTGGCAAAAATACCTTATGAGATTTTATTTTTTTCAATGTGTATTTTTTGTTAGCCTGACCTTTTAATAAAATACACCCTCCAGCTCACAGTTACTTGATCTAAATTTCACTAATTTTCCTCTTAATTCTTTTTTTAACTCAAGGATAATAGTTGGCAACTACTACTGTGCTGTCTTGGTAGGGTGATAACGCAATTATAATATGCACAAAAACATACGGTAAGCAAAAAGCAGGGAGACTGAGTACTGAACCATGAGTGAATTAAATTTATATATGTTTTTGTTTATTTATCCACGTATACCAATAGGAGCTGTAATCTGAATTTTGTTGTTCTGCCTCAATTTATCTACATTAAAGTTCAAAGGGAATATTTTTCTAAGAATATATAGTTACGTTGATATAAAATTCACACCTGAACTTAGAGACCAGGTAAATACGTTTGCAAATGCAAAGAAATCAAAACGAATAGCGTTATAAATCCATAATAAAGCTATTATTGATTTATAGACCATGACTTAATAAAGTCCAGGGGAAATTAATTTAACACACCTCATAAAATGTATTTATTAGTAATGAAATAGGAAAATTATTTTGTAATAATAGCTTTAGTTCTTTCTGTATAGAGAAACTTGTGACTCAGGTGTAACTATTTTAAACAGAGTAAAACATTTTTTTGGATGAAATTATAATTTGAATATAATTTAAACCACAGTGGGTAAATATGGGTGCATCAGCAGCAAAGCAGACAGGTTAATGAAAGCCTAGAGCTGCTTGAGGGTAAAACACATTATTTGAAGAACTATTTTTCTTTACAAAGTGTCGTCTACTGTAAAATGTTCTGAGAGTCTTTTCTACAAACTCTGATCTTTAGATCTTTCGATACATTTTCAAATGCATTAAAGTTCAGTGTCTCACAGAATAATCCCTGCAGCTTATCTACTTTTTCTAAACCCAGTGGCAAATTTCCATTTATGTATGTTTGCGATCCTTCTATGAAAAAATCCACCCTTGTTTCAGATTTAAAAAAATAATATCCTAGTAATTTTGTTAATTAAGATTTCCCTTGCTTACATAATTTTGTAGCACATCCTTTAATTGTATCACAAATTTGGTGCCGCAATGTCATATAAAGAATTAAAGTTTAGCTTCTGTTAAGCCGAATACATGCTACCAGAGAGTGATTGAGTTCTGTAACAATCTAAACAAACTTCAAAATGCTTTTCAGCAGTGAAGTGTTGTGCAGTAAGAAAGCATATATTGCAAATAAGCTATTGCGACTGACAGATTTTTTTTTTATATATATAAAACACTGCATCTGCTGAATCTAGGTCTTTCTAAAGCAGCCAACATTGGAAAAACATTATTTTATTTGATTATTGTTATGTCTCTTTTATAATTAAATCTTAGAAGTGGTGCCTTGTCATGGTCTCTGGATCATTTATAGGTTAAACAATATATCTGTAATTTATGCCCTTTGTTAAATAATACAGTTAAAATGCATTTGAAAGATTACATTAGCTTACTCTTGCAAATAATTAGACATAAATGGTGGACAGCTAACTGCCAAAGACTACTTTGTCTTATTTTGCATCAAAGTTTAGTTAAATTAAATTGTTTATTTTTCTATGGATTCTCAAAATAAGGTATATATTTTACACAATAGAAACCTCTAAATATATTAATATGTATCATACTATATTTGTGATTAAAATTACAATATTTAGTTATCAATTTATTATTTTGTTAATGTACAGGAACTAGTCACAGAAAGAATAAGCTGCTAGAATTTACCTGAACTATATTTCAACAAGTTATCAAATGAAAAACAGACCTTTGACTTGTGCATAGGCAAACAGAATGTTTTAGCAGAACCCACTCAGGCCCAAGTTTATCTTTTTTAATCCATTTTTTTCTTTAAAGTGTTTTGTATGTCTTTCTTTTTTTCTAGCTTGCTTGTACATTTCATTTTTCATTGCATTTGTCTGTTTGGAGATCACCCTGCTCACATTTTTTTACACCAACAGTCTGCTGTTAGCTTTTAGTAGCTCCGCTGTGCCGCCTCTCACCAAGCCACCCAATATCCCACTCAATCAGAGAAGGAGGAGAAGTGGGACTTGCCCTGGCATCAGGCATTACAACTGGAAGAGAAGGTGGGCTATAGACCTATTATTGTGTCCATCAACATATGAAGTTGCGTCCCTTCCCAGGAAAGTGGTTATTTTGGCATTTGCTCTGTATTGGAGAGGCTATAGAGAGAGCAATTAATTATTCTGAGACTTGGGTTAGAGAGCAGTGAGAAGAGAGGAAGGAGGTGCTGCTCAGTTTACAAATTATTGAACTTGGGAGTTTTTATACAACACAAATGTCCACTATTGTTATATTCTCATCAAGGACTGAATTCTGCACAATCAATGACTTGATGCAAGCGATTAGATAGAAAATTATAACAAATCTGTCTGTATTATTTAATCGAAATGATTCTGTGAAGTGCCTTGAGATGACATGTGTATTTGGTGAATAGGCACAATATAAATAAGCTTATTCTTTCTATTTTATTCTTTTAAAAACACAAATCTCAAAAACAACCAAAAGACATTTAGATAAGAGAATTAAGTGAAGATCTGGAGTATCAGGAGCTGATAAAAGATTTAGATTTATTGATTTTCTGCATTATTTGGAGTTCTGAATTTCTCTTTTAGCTTAGAATACATGTTGTTATTTTGAAAGGGAAAATTAACTTCAGTGCTGAAACCTGAGTCCTCCCCCACTGTTTAACAAAACAAAAAAAACAACATAAAAATTACCTTAAACAGAGGGGGATGACTCAGGTTTCAGCTCTCCTAGAGCTATAAATGCAGCGTTAGAGTTGATTCCCTCCCACTATCACCTCAATCCTCATCACCATGCAGGTGGTCAAAACGTTGTGCCTGTTAAGGCAGGCCAACAACCACCTTAACGACTCCCCCTTACAAAGTGGTGGAAATGTTTTTGGTTCAATTTGCATGTTTTCTAAGCCATAACAACGCTTTTGTTGGGTTACTTTATAAGCCTGGAACTCAACTAGAATTAAGAAAGCTTTCTGGATGGGAAGCAAAACATCTTCAAAACTTAGGAAACAAAATCCAGTGGATTGTTTTTTTTTTTAAACTTTTTTTGGAACCTTTCAGTAATGAACTGGGTACGTTGCATTTCTAAACATTACATTTCTAAGTTCAGCAAACATGGACATTGTGACACCTCCTCAGTCTTATCCAGCCTCAGGGTCAGAAAAAAACCTAAAGTAAATTAAATCCAGGTTGAATAAGAGTTACAGTAATAAGTTTGAGTTGGCTCTGGGTTTTTCTTTCAGCCAGCCCATCATTGTTTCTCATGACTCTATCTTTCTCTGACTGAACAGCAAGCAGCATGGTCCCTAAACCTTGATGTCAGCAGGTTGTGATCAAGGAAAAATAGAATAGAAAAATAAAATAATTTTGAAAACAAATACACAAATATACAACATTACCGACATGCACTAAGATGACAAAGTGTTTTTTTTCTTAGTTTAAAAAGTACAAATTTTATAAACTACTAAAATGAGAACAAAGGAAAAGCCTTCCTTTTTTAGAAGCAATATTTTGACTTTTATTAAGATGCTTCTATATACAGCAATTTATGATCATTAACATTGCATTTGGACAAGTTACAAAAATTGCTGGATTATCATGAAGATGGTATATGACTAAATCAGCACAAGCTTTTCATTATGAAGACCTTTTCAAATGTCTTAGTCAAAGTGGGACAAGACTTTTGAAAAGCTCTAGAAAAAGGTTACATTTTTAAAGCTTTCTGATGCCGCTGTAGGTATTGCACAAGAGACCAAAGAAGGTCTCTTGTGCAATACCTACAGTATGTGTTGAGAAACCTTTTCAGGGGCACGAATTAGGTCAAAATGAGACAATTTTAATAGGCAACGAGAAAGGGCAAGCCTGCCTTTCTTAACACAGACAGATTTCAAAGAGTTGATTGGCTTTCTACCCATTATTAGTACGTTTTCAATGCATCCTTTAACTTTTTTCACATAATTCTACAAGAAATTTCTTTTTCAGTTTTCTTTTTTTTAATTAGTTTAGTTATTACTAAAATGGGTGTGAATGTAATGACAATGGATGAGTTGCAAATATATTTAAAGAAAATAAAACATGGTTAGATACTAATTTTCCCTGTTCTATAACATTAGGAGCAGTCTAAAAATAGAAGAAAAGAGTTGCACTGTACCAAAGTGAAGCTCTTAGGGGAGGCTGCCCATCTCTTGACTGTTGTTAGAGGCCATTCCTGCACCACATCCTTGGTTTTCTCATCCACTCTCATGACTGACTCTTTCGTTATCCCCAGCAGCCTTGGGACCAGCTTGTTTTTACCCTTCATCTTTTCCTATCAGAAAGGAAAACATCAGACCCAAAAAAATAAATAAATCAGGGCTAAACACCTACACAGATGATTCATGCATACTAAAAATGCTAAATTCTGGTGCCTTTTATTTACTGCTATAATACAGATGTGACTCAAACAGCTGAAGGGGTGTGGCGGGGGCAGCAATGAAGTGGCCCAAATGGCTCTGGCTTGTTTAACTGCTGCTTTATTGAATAAGGTCTCCAAAGGTTTAAGTCACTGTCAGCACAGCAGCATGGAGTCTCCACCAGCTTCGCTGCCCACTGATAATCTATTACAGCTCACTTTGGACACTGTGCGTTTACTTGGCTGCCCTTCAGGGGTGGAGGGGATAAAAAATAAATTAGCAGTGTGTGGAGAAGCGGAGGTAGACCTAAGTTATTCTTCACACACACATATACACAAAGTCAAACTCTTGTTTATTTTATCCCAGGGTCAAATCTTTAGACAGTAGCACAAACCCAGAACAAGTCTTATTTGGAGAGCCCTTACTCAAGGGCAGAAGATAACATTGTTCCATATTTCTGCAAGCCCTGATTGTTTCAGGTTCTATTATCTAAACGTCACAATTTTCATGGCTGCATTCAAACAGATCCTTTCTAATTTTAAGTGTAGAGATGATTTATTGTGTCATTTAAATTAACATGCCTGAGCAAGAAAATGCAATCAAGGCATTATAGCATACACACCGGCACACATGACTGCAGCAAACCTATAACTGAGTAGATGCAATTGCTTTAATTAACTGTAATCTTTTTTTCTTTGTGTTTATGTGTTTATAGCAATACAAAGCTTTCAGGCACAAAAACCTGCAGTGATTAAAGACTTAGGGATGAGAAATGGTGGGTTAAAAAAACACGATCCACCAACGCCAGGTCTGCGCTTTTCCTTTTGCAAACATCAACAGTGGAGTGCAGAGGGAGTAAATTATTTAGCAGAGTCTTGAATCTCCATCACTGCTTCTCTCTTTCGAACGTAAGGATTGAATGTACTTTCATGTTAACTTGATGAAATTAAAAATTTTCATCTAAACCCTGACAGCTTGAACTAGTTGGCCAAAAATGTCACGTATTATGCAGTTTTTCTTTTTTTCTTTCTTTTTTTTTTTTTTTTTTTTTACAAATATTTAACAAATATGGTAGAAAATGGGAGTGTTATCAGGGGACTTAAACAACATAAGCTTGTGGAAATTTGTTACTACTTATAAGCTTTCCATTTAAGGTGATAACAG